GTCATCATTTTATTTGGATTGGTCATTTGTTGCGCCTTTCCTATTTTCAGCGCCTAGGAACCTCCAACGAAAGTATCCTTGAGGTGCTTTTGGCCAAGGGAGATCCTATTATGGCATTGAGGTCGGTTTGTCTTTCCTATCTATGCTTCTTTTTCATCTTTACCATTTCTGATAACCGCTGCTCATCTGTGTAAGAGGTGCTCTTTCTCTCTCCTGTCTAGTAAAATGATTTTCAGTAGCTAAATTGCTTGTTCAGGAATTATTACTGAAATTATCACTAGCTAACGACTATCAAGCGACCAAGCTAATTCCCGCCTCGTTTTGCGCCTTGCTACATCACGTTGGTTAATTTAGTGGGAACTTTAGCCAAATGCCTTTTTTCATATCATTTGTTAACCTGTACGACCTTTCTCTGTTCTGAATCCTCGCATTGTTATTGCCATTGAAAGGACGGATTTGGTAGATACAATTCTGCTCAATGATGTGCATTTAATCACCTTCTAAAGTCATAAGAGCTCAACTTGTGTGGTATATAGGATAAGAACGTTTGTAATCTTCAAACACTTTCGGTTTTCTAACTTCTAGAATCTTGCATTTTCGTGGTTGTTACTTGAAAACTTTAGAACGTCGAGCTTTCACTCTCCTCCTTGTGATTGGTGGCTAGCAAAAGGGCCGGTAGATGGGGCAATAATTAAAATAAGGTGTAGAGCACTCAGTTATCGCCAACATAAGCGGTCAGAATTATCCAACGTCCCCGACAGTCCTCACACGAGTTGGCAAATACTAGCTTCTGTACCTCACTTTCGCTAGGTTTTATGTTTACACATAAGAAGTATTCCGCACCGCTTCCTTCATACATATTAACTGTAAATGTAGGGTTAATGTTAATCCTGTCTTATTGTTCCACATTTACATCGACTTGGGGAGGAAGTTTTGTCCCCAGATCCTCCTTCAGATGCTTATTTATGTTTTTTCCCCCTTTGTTTTGTCTAACCCTATACTGCTTGCACATTCGCGAAACACAATCAAAAGTAGAACCAGAAGCACTCAGGGCCGAGCTACTTCCTTCAAAACATCAGCTGCAGAGTGTCCTCATGAGGTAAATGATGTGCGGTTATGCGTGTGTGTCCAGGGCCTCACTTTCACTCCCATTATGTCAACTCTGTGGTTGCAGATTTACAGAGCTTTTGGCATCCAACCGGTTGCCATCTTAACCATGTCTCTAAGGTAATTGCAAAAGCAGAATTCGCTGCATGAAAGGTAAAATTGTTATTGATCAGCTTGTCGCAAAGCATACTTACCTCTATCGCCAACTGGAAGATCAGAAACAGACTCGGAATTTGCTACCCCGCCTTTATGCCATCAAGCAGGTTCGCAGGTATACTGACTAGGTTTATTCTTTCACCATCTTCTAGGTTCTGCAAAGACCACCAGGAGTTGCTAGTTCTTGAGGCAACACCACGTAAGGTTCTGGATGCCGCTAAGCTCTGCGAGGATCCAATGATCTTCTATTCTGTGTTTCGATTCTTTGAACGTGCCGCTCCACTCGCCTCCTCGCTCATTCAGGGTATTTTATCTTACCTATTTAGTTAATCTCCTTCTCAAATGTGTTCTTTTTTCTCAAGCTAAAAGCACCTTGTCCTCCTCAACTTTAATAGCCCAGCAAAGTGGTGACATGTGTTGTTGAGTTTTTGATCGACTTGCAGTCGCTGTTTTGCATGGAGGGATTGGGAGGT